CGCCTACAGCCTCGCAGGAGACCACAAGGTAAGCGACCCCCAGGTAAGTTGAATGTTGCTTTGTTGTCTTTGCCCGCTAACCGTCTTCATTTCAGCAATGAGCTAGCTCACCGGCAAGACAACCTTCCTATCGCTGCCGCCGACGACGCCGCCGCTGCCGAGAAAGCCTCCGTGGAGAACCGCTGGTGTCAACTGTGAGACACGGTCCAGGCGATGGCGCTCGCCGTCCTCGGCCGCGCTCCTCGTCAACACCAGGACTGGTTCGACGACAACGACGCCGCCATCAGAAATCTGCTTGCTGAGAAGAACCGCTTACACAAAGCCTACGTAGATCACCCCACCGAGGACAACAAAGCTGCTTTCTACCACAGTCGCCGCCAGCTTCAGCAACGACTGCGCGAGATGCACGACGCCTGGACTGCTCGCGAAGCTGAGGAGATCCAAGGGTACGCGAACCGCAACGAATGGAAGAACATCTTCTCTGCGATCAAAGCTGTCTACGGTCCGCCGACGAAGGGCACTGCTCCTCTCCTCAGCGCCGACGGTAGCACTCTCCTGACTGAGAAGACTCAAATTCTACAGCGATGGGTCGAGCATCTCCGCGGCGTCCTCAATCACCCCTCCACCATCTCCGACGTCGCCATCGCCCGTCTGCCGCAAGTGGAGACCAACGTGGACCTCGACCTCCCGCCATCTCTCCAGAAAACCATCAGGGCCGTGCAGCAGCTCTCCAGCGGGAAGGCACCCGGATCGGACGCAATCCCTGCTGAGGTCTACAAGCACGGAGGTCCCCTACTGATGGAGCACCTGACTGCGCTCTTCCAGGAGATGTGGCGTCAAGGTGAAGCCCCGCAAGATTTCAAGGACGCAACAATCGTGCACTTATACAAGCGAAAAGGGAACCGCCAAGTTTGCGACAATCACCGTGGCATCTCCTTGCTGAACATCGCCGGGAAGATCTTCGCTCGCATCCTGCTCAACCGCCTCAACAACCATCTGGGACAGGGCCTACTTCCGGAAAGCCAGTGCGGTTTCCGTCGCCATCGCGGGACCATGGATATGATCTTCTCCGCCCGTCAACTTCAGGAGAAGTGTCAGGAGATGCGGACCCATCTGTATTCTACCTTCGTTGACCTGACGAAAGCCTTCGACACGGTGAATTGTGGAGGACTGTGGAAGATCAAACAGAAATTCGGCTGTCCGGAGCGATTCACTCAGATGGTACGTCAGCTGCATGACGGTATGATGGCTAGAGTCACGGAAAACGGAGCTGTCTCAGAGGCATTCGCAGTGACCAACGGAGTGAAGCAGGGATGCGTGCTGGCACCAACCCTCTTCAGTCTTATGTTCTCCGCCATGCTGATGGACGCCTACCGCGACGAACGCCCTGGAATCCGCATCGCCTACAGAACGGACGGTCATCTCCTGAATCACCGGCGCATGAACTTCCAATCGCGCGTATCCACAGCCACCGTGCACGAACTCCTCTTCGCCGACGACTGCGCCCTGAACACCACCTCGGAAGAGGAGATGCAACGGAGCATGGACCTGTTCTCCGCTGCCTGCGAGAACTTCGGTCTGGTCATTAACACGCAGAAGACGTTGGTGATGCATCAACCGCCACCCAAATCAGCCACTCCCCCCAACGCGCCGCAAATCATTGTGAATGGGACCCAACTGCAAGTGGTGGATATCTTCCCGTACCTGGGCAGTACCCTCTCCCGCAACACCTAGATCGATGACGAAGTCGCCAACAGGAACTCGAATGCCAGTCAAGCCTTTGGCCGCCTCCAAAGCACAGTTTGGAATCGTCACGGTCTCCAACTGAGTCCGAAGTCAAAGATGTACATGGCCGTCATCCTGTCGACGCTGCTGTATGGAGCGGAGACGTGGACGGTGTACACGAAGCAGGCACGCCGACTGAACCACTTCCACCTCCGTTGTCTTCGTCGCATCCTGAGGCTGAAGTGGCGGGATCGAATTCTCGACACTGATGCGCTGGAACGGACGGGAATCATCAGCATCTGCAGCATGCTGAGACAGATGCAGCTGCGCTGGAGCGACCACCTGGTGCGCATTGACGACGAGCAAATACCCAACTGACTCTATTACGCAGACGTCCCGACGGGCTCTCGCCGCCAAGGTGGCCAAATTCGCCGGTACAAGGACACCCTGAAGTCCTCCCTGAAGCGTCTACAAATTACCCCGACCAGCTGGGAAAAACTCGCACACGATCGACCGACCTGGAGAAGAACAGTGAAGACGGGCGCTGCTATCTACGAAGCCAACCGCATCGCTGCAGCCAAAGCGAAAAGCGATGCCCGCAAATCACAACTTTGCCCAGTCCGCAACACCGACGCACAACCGCTACCAACGTGTCCTCGAAGTCAAGGGACATTTCAGGCTCGAATCGGACTTGTTGGACATCTTCGGATCAACTATACCTGTCGGACCGCATCAACCGCCGTCCCTTCGCCCGTCTCTTCCTCGTCCTCTCTGCTGCCAGCTACCTCTGGCCTTTCTTCTAAACCACTTCCATCCTCCTCCTCCCCTTCCTA